CCCCCCCCCCCCCCCCCCCCCCCCCATTTTCACTAAGAATCACTGAGTGAAAAGTTACCTTTAGATAAAAGCCATATGTTCCTTTTTTAAGAGAAGTCAAAACCTAGATGTCATCTGTGTTTTATGTAGAACTCAAGGCAGGATCTGTATATCCCCGGTAAACAAGACAGACAAAACTGAAACCTAAGATGTGGAAAAGCATGTTTTATGTCCTGCTTCTGCCTTCTGCTTTCTGAAATGCCGGCTAATTGAGAGGGTTTGTGATTCCATATACTAAAACAACAGTTATCTTTGATGCCTTGGAGTACGTTGTATCGTCAAAGTGTATCATGGAAAGTTGAGAATTTAAATTCACGTTTGGGTATGAAGTGACCTTCAGTGGTAACTGGAGATGCTTAGCTGCTCTAAAAATCTGATCATTTATTAGACACTCAACTTTAGGCCCCAGACTTCAAAATGTTCTCATCATAATTTCTCCATGCTGCTAATAAGCTTTTCCTATATCACAGAGCTCTTCTGAGGATTAATTAGCTAATATTTGCTAGGTGATTTGAAATTACAAACCCCGGGTAACTCCTAAGCCTTCTTACACTTCAGAATCCTAAAAGGGTCTGTAGTGCCAGCTAAAGCTACTCTACAAAACTTTTTGCTTCCAGAATAGTATTTTCCTAGTGGGGCTGGGATATTTTTGGTTGGCTTCACCTTGCTGTGCTTAGATGGACACACCCTACTGTAGGATAACTCATCCTACTGAGCTCAGCAGGCCCTTGAGCTCAGGTTTTTGTTGAGCTCTGCTGACAGAAATGACATTTTGATGAATACTGATGCCTTTCACACACATTTTATGAGCAGGAAGAAGGAAGCTAGTGTAACTAACCTGCAACACACACGACTAATGAAAAGGACCCCTGGTGATTGCCTGCTATTTGCCATTCTGCAGAGAGCTGTATGAAACCGATGGTCTCAACTCTCTAAACCTGGTTTCAGGCAAGGCTCTAATTGGCTTGGAGGTTGTGCTAATCTGTTTCCTCCTGCCCAAACAAAAAATAGGTCAAAAGTCCTGGATGCTTCTCTCTTCCTGGTCCAACATTCATCGTCGTGAGTCCCTCGGAGTCAAGGATGACGTCTGTCAGGCTTGATGGGTCCTCAGGTAACTGAGGAGCCCGATTCTGGATACACATGTTCTTTGGCACTGGGGGCATGTTGTTGCACGGGGAAGTGGGATTCACAGCCCTGGGTTGCCCAAAGTTGTCACTCTTCTTGGGGCTCATATGGTTATGTCCTGTCCTCTGCACCTGAGGAATTAAACTGTATGCTTCCCAATGCCCAGCAGACTTTCCACAGAGAGTGTTATCACATGTCTTGTCCAAAGTGGCTTTGTCTTAATTAGACCCTTTCAGCACTTCTGTAGAATAAGGAGTAAACCTGATGGGCTAAGTACAGACATTCAAAACATTACATTACATAAACAGACATTAGCTTGAGCCTAAATTGGTTCAATCTTTGCAGGCTAAGTCTAACGTGCGTAGATTGAACTGATTTGCAAGTGAATAGACAGACATTCACTTTTGATTCTGCAAATGCAGCCGCATGACTGCATTGGCTCAGGCTAGAAGCCAGGGGGCACTAGAGTGAGCCGTCCCTTCCCTTTGGCACAGCCACAAGGCTGGAGGGAAGCTGAGCTGGGTGGATGGGGGGTGGCCAGGCACTGGCAGTCCACTGAGTATGATTGGGGAGGGATTTAATCCTCCACCCTGGCCTCCAGGGACCCCAGCCGGGGTGTGCCTGGAAGGGGAAGGGGGCAGAAACCCTTGCCCCCAAGTGGGAGGGCAGTGTGTGGCCAGAGCCAGCCTGGCCAGCTCCTCAAGTGAAGGCGGGGCAGGAAGGGGGATTAAACCCCCCCATCTCCCCTTTCTCCTACCCACATGGGACCCCAGCTGGCATCTGCCTGGCTTTCCACCCTGCTGGCCACTTGCGCAGAATGGGGCATGGCCAGAGCCGGCCTAGGCAGTGGCTCTGGCAAAGGGGGAGCAAGGAAGGGGATTAAACTCCCCTGCCTCCCCTCTCTCCCCCCAGCATGGGGAGTCCAGCCAGGGCCTGCCCAGCTTTCTGCCCCATCCCACTGAGAGGGAGGGAAGCCAGGGGATTTTAATCCCCCTCCCTGCCCCCTGTTCACCTGAGGTGCTGCTCTGGCCAGCTCTGGCCACGCCCCCTGCTGCATGAGTGGCCGGGGGGTGGGAGTGCGGCAGACCTCAGCTGGAGTCCCATGTGGGTGGGAGAGGGGAGGCAGGGGGAGTTAACCCTCCTCCCTCCCCCTGAGCCTGCTGGCTCATGCCCCCTCCAGCAGGGGAAAGTCTGACAGGGGCTGCTGTATCCCTGCCATGCAGACCGGGCTGTGCCAACTGGGTTACCCACCCCTACCCCCTTGTCAGCCAGCCCTCACTGCTTAGGCTAGGGAGCAGCGGGGTGGGGTCATCCCTACTCTGCTGAGCAGACAGCACAGCCCAGGGCTGAGCTGTAAAGCATGCTGGGATGTTGGGGGACTCTGATTTAACTTGAAGCAGGAAGGGGTCTGGGACAAAAGTTCCATAAACGAGTTTGACCTAAATCACTTAAGGTTGAACCACTTAAGTCTTATTCAACCAGGTTTATCTTAAACCAGTTTTGGCCACTTTGAAACTGGTTTATGTGCACTGAACGACTATTCCGTTACAGGTTTAAACCAGTTTCTGATGACTTAAACCGGTTTGTGTGTAACTAATGTTCCATGGAATTTGATTGGTCCACATGGAGGCAAGGCATGGCCAGAGAGGGGGGAAGTTGAACCCCGAAAGAGCTAGGCAACATTTCAGTCCAAACCGACCCCTTGGAAAGTTGTCCCATTGTCGCTATCTGCAACTGCAAACAATGGTAAGAGTAGCTCAAGGACTGGTGTGTCATAAGCAATCCACTGCTTTTTTTGTCTCGAGTTGCATTTCTCCAAGCGGCTGATAATGGATGGGCTCAGTTTATTCCACAGAGGACGTATTCACAGCCTGCCCTGTTCCATTTAGTATAAACAGAAACCAAAGCATGTTAAACTTTGTCGCTAACAGAATGCTACTGTCGCTATTCAGATTAAACAGAGGTTTTTTTAGACACAGGACTGCCTTTGCTGTAGGAAATCTCACGTATTAGGGAAAGATCAATACCACAGCTAATGGCCTAAGGTATCAAAAAACCTCACTGGAGGAAATGAGAATGTTGTCTGGAAACCAGATGATGATAATCCTCAGGATAAATGGATTTAGAGATTTCCGACACTGTTTTAGTAAACAGAGGGCAGACTTAAACAGTTATTTCAACAAGTTCCTTTACAAAAGGGAAAGAGATTGCCATTTTCCTGTTTGGTTTTAGCTGTGACATTGATGGGTCTTGGTGAATATTTATTAACTGTTTATATGTAGAACGAAGTTAGGTGTTGAGGCTTTTTCCAAGAAGAGCCTGTGTGGGAAAATCTTACACCCAACACCGTGCCTTGTGATCATTTCTCATTGCGTTTCCTGTCAATGATACTAGGCAAGAAACTGTGAATTTCTCAATAGGTTGGGCATGGCAGTGGGTGAACCTCAAACAAATTCAAAGTAGAATCACAGAAAGCGAGGGTGTGAAGGGACCTCAGGAGGTCATCTTGTCCAACCCCCTGCTCAAAGCAGGACCAGCCCCAACTACATCATCCCAGACAGAGATTTATCTAGCTGGGTCTTAAAAACCTCCAAGGATGGAGCTTCCACCACCTCTCTAGGTAATCTCTTTCAGTGATTTACTACCCTCCTAGGGAGAAAGTACTGACCAGACAGGGACCCAATTATAGAGGACTCTCGATTCTGTTCTCAGTGATACAGCTATGAATCAGGAGCACTTCCAGTGAAGTGGTTGTGGAGTATGGGAGAGCTTCCACCCTTCCATTCAATGGCTAAAACTGGGTACTTCTGTGCTTAGTTTGGACAATCTGGGGCCAGCATTGCATTCACTAGACTTTTTGAGTGTTTTAAAAGGCTGAAGGCTGGTTTCTGCAAGGGCTGATGTGTGAGGGAGACAGGGGGAGGGATGAATGAGGTGAGGTTTGACTTAACTTAACCAATATGACCAGGTTTTGACTCCTGCATATAACACAGGCTTGAGAATTACAGAGCAAGACTCCCGCCCTGAGCCCATAGTTGAGCTGCATCAACACAACCTTTAGCAAGACTCCCAGGCTTGATTTACAGCCTAAGAGTGACAGTGAATCCATGGTATCCCCGAAGTCGGTGGGATTACTCACACTGTATAAAGTGTAGCATGTAAGGCTTTGCAGGATTTGTCACAGCCTTTATAAGGAAAGCGGAAGGTGCAGACCCCTGCAGTTTTCGACTGCTTGCACATCTCCAAAGACTCCCACACAAACACAATAGTGTTAATAAGTCTGGCTATCTTAACAGCTTCATTTCTTAAATACTATAACATTCCACAGCCAGATGCCTTTCCATTTTATTAAATCTTTCATGGCCTCTGTCAATTTTCTGATGCAATTTCCTTTTCTGGCATAAGCTTGCTAATACACAGCTTTGTGTGTCCCTTCAAAATGTTTGTGGCTGTATCACAGGTCACTTTTTTTCTGAAATATTTCCTGATCTTTATTAAACAGAGAGTGGGTAACTTTTAAGAATGGGTGTTCTTGAAATCCCCATCTGTAGCTCTGCTAGCAATTTTCCTCTTGAGGAGGAGTTCATCTTCACTTCCATCTTCTGCCAGTTTGGGAGTGTTCTAATGTTTCTGAATTTAACATTTGAATAATACTTTATAGCCAAACACACACCACATAGACCCTTCTTTCCAGGCAGAAAGCTCACCCGATATTGCAGCCTAAGCAGGTAGGTTATCAGGGATATCTGATAACCCCAAAGGAGAGCCCTGTGTGGTGGTGTTGGTGACTCACCTTGGCATAATTTAGCAGTATCATGGTCTACAGCTATTGTTCTTGCGATGGGCTATACAATTAGGATCCTTGTCATCATTAAAGAACATTCAACCCTTCTTGCAAAAGCTGGAGTATTAGTTGCTGGTCCAATCAGTGTATTTACATCTTTTTTTTCCCCTGGTTCAGTTGAAAGCAGTGTCATGCCCCATGCCTGTGCGCTGCATTGTTGACTGTGTGCTATTAAATAGCTGCCATAATCTACCTCAGGGCAGGCTGCTAATCTCTGATGGATGTAATGCAAGATGAGACCGACACGCACATCAGCGGTTGCATCCAGCACTCCTCTGCGTTTGAGTCAGAATTACATCTGAACTGCTCTGTCATGTGACAGGGATCAGCATCTACTGACTTCAGTGAATTGATTCCAACATATTTCTATTGTTATAAAGGAACCTGAGCATCTCTGATTCAAGATATAAATGCCATTAGACTTGTTGGATTAATGGTTTATAACAAATCCACCACTATGTGAAGAGCTTTTAATGCACTTCTCTTCTCTTGGTATGTACAATACCTTTTTTTGCCCCTATGCAGAAAGCACATGCTCTGTGCAGAGTATATATGTGTGTATATGTATGTTAAATTTCTGAATAATGCATCTCATTCTATTACATTAGCAGAAAAAGAATATTTGTTGAGTCCTGCTGGGGAAAAAAAGAACTGGACATATATTCTGCGTGACTGCCCTTGTCCTCTCGCAGCACACATATAAGTAGCCTTCCCCAAAACGAAGACAGAGAAGGAGAGCAATTAGGACTGGAGTTTGGACTTTGTCCAGCAGGCTCAATTGACTTTGTCAGTCATGTCCTATGTGAACCTTTCTGTTTTTCAAGGGTAATTAAACACACCACTGCTTGCTTGGATCTTTCTTTCTGACTATCCATCCACCTCAACTGACAAATTAAAGAGCTAGAGAGGAGGGAGCCAAGCTTGACTGTCCACAAAGCCATGTCCACATTGGCATAATTTTTTGATAACTTCATACCATCATGTAATTAGCAATAGAAATGCCACGTGAGAACAGTATGTGTCATTAGGGTTGGAGTCATTTGATCTTTAACTAATCTTACATCTAGTGAAAGATGAGCTAAGTGAATGAAACCTGTATAGATCAGCCTAATAAATATTGTATAGACCATATTTCGGCCCATATCACCTGCCATGACATTGCATCACTGACAGCAGAGAGAGTGGTTTAGGTGATTAATAATGGGATCTGGAACCTCACATTACCTCCTAATGATGAGGTGTTTTCTTCTGACACATGACAAATGGGAATTGTCCCATAAAGTCAGAGACCAAAGGCCAGTTTCCAAGAGGCATGTGCCCACACCGTTAAAGCAGTACCAGAATTATTTGCATTCTTGTTGGTGAGGCTAAGGGACAACTGACTCAACACTTCCCCCACTATTAGTTATCTCCATTGCTCAGGGCAAGGCATGTTTCCAAGGAAGTTTAGTCTGGTGTTGCACTGGCTGTGTGTGCATCAGCATAGAGAGAACGTGTTAGACGTTAGTCAATCTCGCACTGTTCTTAATGACTGAAATTCACACGTTGTGTTTATTGCATGACTGATACAGACGGTGAACAAGGGCAAGTCAAACTCTAAAATCTTCCTTCATCTCCCTCCATTCCAAATTGTTCCCATCTGTGCAAGTTGTATAAAACTATAATATCTGAAGTCAGCTCCTTCTGAATGGTTACATAGGAGTGAACGACAGAATATCACAGAAAGCTTCCTAACTGTGAAACCTATTAGACAGCAGAGCATAGTCTTCTGGGGGAAGTGTTGGAATGAAGCCCCGTCACATGAGATTTAAAACTCCAGGGGATAAAACATTAAGAGGGGAAAAAAATAGATAAATTGTTAGATAACAGGTCTGCACTGACAGAGAGGAATGGAGAGTTCAGCTTAAAATATCTTTTCCATCTAGGAACATAGGGCATAAAACTGGAAAGGTCATAGAATCCATTCCCTGGCAATAGAAAACACATTGCATCATGTAATCCCCTTGATAAACTGAGCGTGCTCTATCTAAAACTAGCTAGGTTCTTTTGTCTCTACAACTCCGATTAGGAGGCTGCTTACTGCGGCTTCCAGGCAAAATTTATTCATGAGTACTTTATACTGATTTATTCTTGTTTGAACCTTAGATCTCCTCTCTCCCTGGTATTTATTCCTTGATATATGTATACGCAGGAACTGTACCCTCTTTTCAGCCTTCATTTTGGTAGAATACAAGTTTGTTTTGGTCTCCTTTCATTGCCATGTGCATGTCAAAAAGTCATCCTCCTGTGTTTCTCTGCCCCTATACCTGTTTGAATTCATCTATCTTGAATGTGGCTGACCATAACGGCGCACAGTATTCCGAAGATTTTACAAATTAATTTTAGAAGGACATTAATACCTTATTATATCTACAGGAAATCACTTTCCCTGGTGCATTTTAGAATTGCGCTTGGCTCACAGGCATCCTATGATCTTTCTCTTCCTCTGTCACTTCCAACCGATGAGCCCCCAGCTCTAGTAGAAATTCTTGTTATCAGTCCCTAAGTGCACGACCTTGCACTTTGCTTTATTGAAATTCATCCCATTTCTATTACTCCAGTCCTTAAGGTCAGTTGGTTCTTCCTGTATGATATTTTTGCCTTTCTCTGTATTGACAATGCCTCCCAAATTTGTGCCATCAGCAAACTCCATTTAATCTCTAACTTGCAAAATTCTCTGGCAGTATCCTTGTGAGAGATTGTAAGTGTGATTGTGTGTCAACACAACTCCTGGCCCTCTTCCCTTTGCCACAGGTACTAGAGTTAGTAAAGTAACTTCCAACAAAATCACGCTTCACTGGGAAATGTTCATTTATCAACATCTTGTGGGAGAAATGTGTCAAGGGTGGAATATCTGCTTTCACCTGGGCAGTGGGAGACTCAGGTTTAAGTCTCATCTGAAAGCAAAACCCAAGTATCCTATATCCCAGGTCAGTGCCCTCACCACCAAGCTTATTGGCTAGGGAACTGGGTTAAGTGATCAGAAACTGGTTTAAACCTGTAACAGAACAGAAGCTCAGTGCACATAAACCAGTTTCAAAATGGCTGAAACTGGTTTAAGATAAATCTGGTTGAATATAGTATCAGGCTTAACTGATTTGGCTCAAACCAGTTTATGAAACTTCTGTCCCAGACCCCTTCCTGGTTCAAGTTAAATCACATGTAACCCAGGTACACCCAAGGGTGTTCCCCGTCCTCAATTGAATGGGATAGGTGGGCAGGCAACAGTGCAGTGCGAGGGATGCTGTGACTTGGGTACAGATCCCTCTATTTATAGAGCCACACCACACAAAATGTTCTTAACTACATACAGACTTTATTTAACATATAAAGAATTATATACAACTAATATATATACACACAACTATATATATATATCTCCCAAAACAATAGATAATATTAGAAAAACATTAACCACTATACACTCTTATACATACACATACTTAAAACTATATTCAGGAATGGGGTTGTGCAGGGTATGCTTTGAGAGTAGTCCCCTTACCCAGGACCCCGAAATCCTTAAGGTAAGCCACTAGGTCCACAGGGTGACCCTGTGTGGGCCTCCAGCAGGTAAATACCTGTTTCCCAATATAATACTCAACAAATTAAACAACAAGAAAAATAGATTCCAATAGAAAAATAACAACCTTAAAATTATTTACCAGGTAAAATATAACATAACTCACACAGTACAACCAGTTTACAAAATATTAGGTACAGCTCCCCATTTTGTAGGGCACACTCTCACCCAGTTCTCTGAAAGGAAGGGGGTGGGGAGGGTCACTTTTCTCTGACCCCTCCCCTGTTAAGCCCCTATTCCCTGAACTCATGCTTGTCCCAAGTGAGGATGTGGTAGGCTTGTTTCCCCCCGCCCCCATGAGGACCTTGCTGCTGCATGCCGCAGGGAGTTCCTTCTTCATAGGCTGGGGTTGGGCCTTGGGCAACTCCAAGGCTCAGCCTTCTATCGAGTTTGGGGGTGGAGCACAGCCCACCTTTTCTGTCTCTGTGGGAGGAAAGGGACTGGCAATGCTCCAAAAGTGCCTTAGGGCAGGTGCCCCTTGACAATGCCTGAGCAGTCTCTCATCGCTCCCAGGGCCAAGGCTTCATGCACTGGGATGTGCACCATGTGGGGCCCAAGCAGGATCTCTCTGCTCCCAGGGCTGAGGCTCTGGCAGCATCTCCTCCAGCGGTGTCTTTAGGACCCCAGGCCTATCGTCCACTGCAGCAGCTCTCCCCAGCTTCTCAGCTCTGCTCTTTTTGTCCCTCGCCGGTCTGGTTTGCCAGCCGAACATGCTGTGCTTTTATAGCCATCCGGGGCTCTGCCCTAGATTGCAAAAGGTCCAATGAAGGCGGCAAAAATCTCGCCAGGACCCCTCCTTCTGGGAGTTCTGTCCCTGGATCATAAATGCACCAGTCAGGAGAAGGGGGGGGGTGACAGCCAGAACCAAAGAAATTAATAAACAATAAATATGTGCTTCTTGGAGGCATTTGGAACTTTTATCTAATATGAAGCTCGTATTTTTGTAACCTGCAAATGTAACTTGTAACTGTTTGTGGAACTAACTAGGCCTCAAAGACAAAGCTCTCGCTGTGAGATTAGCTGACCTAATAGTTCTTTCTTGCTCAGAATTTAGCCTTGATGATGATAAAAACTGGATTCAACTGCCTAGCTTATCCAGTACATTTCAAGAAAGAACACCTCAAAAAAGCATAGTCAGAGAGTTCTGAAGGGGCTGGATTTAGGCGTGGTAATGTTAATTTCAAACATGAAGATGCTGTGTTGTGATTTGCTTATTGGATAAACCCAAGCTTAGGCAGTAACTTATTAAAATAATTTCTAACACCTTTTAACCCCATAGGATAACAGCTATAAAGCAGTATTATGAATGGCTACATAACTACAAAAATAGTATAGTTAGGATATAGAAGAACACACACGTCATAGTAACCCTCCGGAAGGACGGAACAAAAGGGTTATTGCTGTCCCGTACGCCCGCGGATCTCTCTTACTCCCTGTGAGAGCGAGAACCAGATCCTGACTGAGGGGCTTCCACCTGTTCTCCTTCAGGCAGCCCAGTTCAGAGACTTCTGACTTCGCTGATTCAACTTGACGTGCATCTTCTAACTGAGGGACTATCGATAAGTTAATAACCAAGTGAGAACTCTTGGTTAATTTCTTTATCTGTTTTATTATCACTGTCAATTTTAATCTGTATTGTTATGTTGTCTGTTTATTAACTTAACCTTTTTATTAACTATTATATGTGCAAACTCTATCTTTTGTTGTCATAAGTAAAATTCATTCCTTTTTGTAAGTGAAACTTGTCATTTCTTTCCTTTCCAACATCACCTCCTTGATCCCAAACCAAAAAGCCCAGTGGCTAATAAAGTTGCAGTGCTCAGTCAGTCTGCAACTAAATTGATATACTCACAGTGCCCAGCTGGCCTGTGATGGGGGGGGCACCCTCTCCTGACTGGTGGAAAAAATTCGACCATTGGCTCGGTGTCCTGCTCAAGCTGGTAAGCTGCATGCAAGCTGCTGCATGCCTGCTACAAGCAGTTTCCCAGCATGCTTTGCAGCCCTGGGCTGGGCTGACTGCTCCAGCAGAGCAGAACTGGCCCTACCCCTGTGCTCCCTAGCTGGAGCAGTGAGGACTGGCTGACAGAAGGAGCAGGGGGCAAGCATGGCTGGGCCTGCAGTCCAATCTGGGGGTGGGGAGGGGACTGCCCCCCGCCCCAGGCAAACCCCTGCTGGGATCTGGGGCCAGAGAGGTGGGTAAAACACCCCTTCCCCTACTCAAACTTACTGCTGGCTGCAACTGTGGGCTACAAACCCCTGAGGCACCTGGGAACAGGAAGAGGAAGTGATGAGCAGCCCTGCAGAATCCTGCTGCTCTGTTTCTGGACTGCAAATTCCAGAGACCTTGTGGGCAACAGGAAGAGGAAATGAATATGCAGCCAAATAGCTGTGCTCTAGCGCCCCCAGCTTCTGGCTTGAGCCACTGCAGGCATATGGCTGCATTTCCTTAATCAAAGGTAAACGTCTATTCATTTCTATTTCAATTTAATTGGTACCACTTAGACTAACCTGCAAAGACTGAATTGATTCAGCCTTGGGCTTCTTGACTGTCTGTACCTAGCCATTGTGTTATTTTAGTAGGTGACTCTCTGTGTTTCTCCTGAAAATTTTGAAATGTGCCAGGTCTGTCCTGATACAGAAAAGTGTTTTACATCTCAATTTTCCCACCCAGGTTTTAGCCTTACTGATCTAGCTGAATAGATTTTCTGTGTTACTAAATTTAAAACTTTCCTAAAAACAAATGTAAGCATTTCTGTCTTCATTTTTCTGATACCCTCCCCCCACCCCATTTCCTCAGTTGAATTCTAGTCTCCTATTTTTTTAAGAGTCTGCTCTAATAGAATCCTAACTTTCTATGTTTTCCATTGTGTCCTTCAAAACTACTGTTAAACCACATGCCTAGATTACATTTTGTTTCCAAGGAATTCATCATAAAATGACAAGTTAAGCCTAATCAGTCTGCCTTTTTTCTCTCAAAGGCCTGAGGTTGGTTTTAGGTAACATCCCTTGTCACACTGTAGAAGATCCAATAGGATGGAAAAAAACAAAAATATATTTTTGTCATTATCACTGCAATGATAAGCAAAATTTGGTTTAATGCTACTCTAACTGACTTTAGAGCCTAACACAAACCTTGGACTGACCTCTTCTTGGGCAAACATGACCATGTGACAGTTAGACTACTTGGTTCAGTCTGTTTAATCTGTTCAGCTTTCTGAATGAAATTTAACAAACTTGCACATCTGAAAAATGGAGTGCCCAAATTTCACTTGCCCTTGTAATTTTTCTACTGCTGCAATTTATAAACTTGGGTAGGTAGAAGACAACTTTTCCATCAGCAGTTTTGTGCTATGGGGTGTTTTCCCTGGATACCTGCATTGGTACTTAAAAATCTGATATTATTTCTGGGACCCTTGGATGTTTCTCTTTTCAGTGACCACCTTTCCTGAATTTTCCAGGCCCAGTCATGCATTGTGGCAGTGTGCCCATGTGTGCAAAGAGCCCTTGAAATGGGACTTTTGTCCTGAATTTGAAAATGTTTTTTGGGCTTAACTGTGTGTGCTCAGGAAGGCAGCCTCTGCCAGAGAAAAGCAGTGAGCCTGATCTTTGCCCACCTCTTCAATTTAGGGCCCCCGTTTCGTCTACATAAACCATTTGTCCGTAATTGATCAACTCCCCTGAACATTCCCGTGGCCTCACCTAGAGGGTACAACATGTGAAAACAGCTGCATAAGCATGGGCTGCCTCCTGACCAAGGAGCCATGCAGCTGTATTCACACCAGGCCTACACTCAGATAAATTAAGTCTGTGCCTTAGTAGTGCTAATTAGCCCCACTCCCTCCCCACCTCACAATGCTGTGCAAAGGCAGTTCCTCGCAGACTGGATGCGGTAGAGACAATTTCTGGTATCAGAGGTCTGTAGGGAATTTCACAGCTGGATTTTGCCCCCCAGAGTTGGCTGCTTTTCTTTCACTTTGCTCCTACAGTGTTGCATCAGTAATTTTATGGTTTTGTTGCTGGTTTTGCAATTTAGTGGGATACGCTGTTAAAGCAGCTGCCTCTCATTGCATATCATGTTAGCCCAGGAAATGCGAAATGTATGTTATTTCAAATAAGATAGGATTGATAACCCTTGAATTGCGTGATGTACTGGATGCAACTAATGAGGTACTAATCCTCATGGAAGCCTTTGGGGCAGATTTCAGGAACTAAATCAGAGTCACTTAGGGTAGCAATAAAGCCATCTGGATGTTAAACCTCATTTAGTATTGATTTGAGAATCAAATACGTTAAATGAATTGATTGTATGTTCTAGTTTCTTTTAGCTGTTAACTCTTATCATTTATTGTTCTTAGCTAGTCCTTATCTACTGTCCTTGAGGTGGAAACTTTAGGGGGCCTTTTGGGCTTAACTGTGTGTGTATAAACGGCTCTTCTGTGCTTAGTATTACAGAATTTGCTTTTATGTAGCCTCAGAAAGGTTTTTAAGCTCTAAATGCTGTTTGCCTGCTGTATCTAACACCCCCTCCCCCCGATCCACTCAGTGCACTAGGAAAAATCCTTCTAACAAGGGTCTTATTAATACTAGTAGGTTGGATGCTTTAGTCTGCATGGTCCACTCTTCACTGCTCATGAATGCAATGTAGTGTTGAAATGGCTACAGATTTTTCAGAGAAGATTTATTCTCTGTAGGGAGCATCTCTCCTGTTGCAATGTGTAAATGCAACAGTAGAGATGCTGTCTCCCCTACATATCTCTATGTGCACTGTCTCAGCACTTCCTTCCATGTGCCATAAGAGGGTTTGCTCAGAGAAAGGCAGAAAAGAGAGTCTGTGGTGGAGATGAGTTTGTCAGTGGGGGGAAGGGGAAGTTGAGGAGGGAGCCACGGAACACCAAACAAAGAGCCACCCACAAGAACAGCCCAGCCAAGACAGGCAACGAGCACAAAAAATACCCAGGTAAGAGACAGGGGACCAGATAGTCCTGGGATTAGGGGGGCGATGCATGCACCTTCAGGAGGCCTTAAATGCCTATACACTAATGCTCGTAGTATGGGGAACAAGCAGGAGGAACTTGCCCTCCTGCTAGCTAACACTAACCCGGACATAGTGGGGCTCACTGAAACTTGGTGGGATCCAACGCATGACTAGGCAGTAAACATCAAGGGCTACAGACTATACAAGCAGGATAGAACGGGGAGGGAAGGTGGGGGTGTGGTACTCTACATCAAATAGCAATACTCATCCTCAACAAACAGCACTGGGTCAGAGGAGGGGCAGACTGAAGTGCTCTGGATCCATATACAAGGGGGTTGTGGGGAAAGGGACTTAATGGTAGAGGTTTACTACAGGCCACCTAATCAGGGGGAAGAATTGGACCAGGAATTCTCAGGTCAGCTTGTGGAGGCAGTTAAGTCAAGGGATGTGGTCATCATAGGTGACCTAAACTATCCAGACATCTGCTGGGAAGAGCAGACAGCCAGGTCTGACCACTCATGTCAGTTTCTAGCTGAGTTACAGGACCTCCATCTAACCCAGGAGGTGCACAGTCCCACTAGGGGAAATGCCTTGTTGGACCTGGTCCTGGCCACAGGCGATGACCTGGTGAGGGGGCTGCGAGTGCTCGATCACCTGGGCAATAGTGATCATCGCCTACTGGAATTCACCATCCAGCGCAGGGTGTCAAAGGCCTGCAGCAAGGCAGCAGCCCTAGACTTCAGGAGGGCGGAGTTCAATGAGGTAAGGAGACTAGTCGGGGAGGCACTGAGGCCCTGGATGGGAGGGCAGTTGGGAGTCCAGGAAGAGTGGTTGTTCCTTAAGGAGACGATCCTCCAAGCCCAAAGGGTGACAATCCCCATATGGATCAAAGGGGGCAAGAGTGCTCAAAAGCCCCCATGGCTCACCAAAATTATCCACAAACTTCTCAAAGCTAAGAAGGAGGCATACACCCAGTGGAAGGGAGGGGCCATAACCAAGGAGGATTATACCTCCATTGCTCGAGACTGTACGGGGGCTGTTAGGAAGGCTAAGGCGGAGATGGAACTGGGACTAGCGACCCAGATCAAGGATAACAAGAAGTCCTTTTTTAAATACATACGGGATAAAAAGAAGGTTCCAAGTAATGTGGGACCCCTGCAGGATACTCTAGGAAATCTGGTGCTCGCACCAGATGACAAAGCTAACCTCTTTAACAATTTCTTTGCCTCCATCTTTTTGAGCAGGGACCAGGGCATCCCCCCCCACTGGGATTCCCGATAGACCCAGGAGAGGCACTGCCAGGCCCAGGGTCAGTAAGGACCTAGTCAGGGAAATTCTGGTGGGTCTAGACGTGTTCAAGTCAGCAGGTGCTGACAATCTCCACCCCAGGGTGCTGAAGGAATTAGGAGAGGTCATTGTGGGACCCCTGGCATGGCTTTACAAGCACTCATGGTGCTCTGGCAAGGTGACAGAGGACTGGAAAAGGGCCAGTGTGGTCCCCATTTTCAAAAAAGGGAGGAAGGAGGACCCAGAAAACTACAGGCCCGGTAGTCTTACCTTGGTCCTGGGGAAGCTCTTTGAGAAAATAATCCAGAAGCACATCTGCGAGGGACCAGCAGGGGGGATCATGCTTAGGGGCAACCAACATGGGTTCATTCGAGGCAGGTCCTGTTAGACCAACCTGGTGGCCTTCTATGACCAGGTCACAAAATCCTTGGATGCAGGTGTCGTGGAAGACGTAGTCTTTCTGGACTTTAGGAAGGCTTTCGGCACAGTCTCTCACCCCATCCTCATTAAGAAATTAGACGACTGTGGCGTCGATGCCTACACAGTCAAATGGGTCACTAACTGGCTGGAGGGCCGCACCCAGAGAGTGGTGGTGGACGGGTCATTTTGACCTGGAGGGACGTGAGCAATGGGGTGCCCCAGGGCTCGGTCCTTGGGCCCGCACTGTTCACATCTTCATTGGTGACTTGGACGAGGGGGTGAAAAGCAGCTTGTTCTAGTTTACAGATGACACTAAGGTGTGGGAAGAAGTGGGCATGCTGGAGGACAGGGACAGGCTTCAACTAGATCTAGACAGGTTACAGGGGTGGGTGGATGAGAACAGGATGGGATTCAATACTGACAAGTGAAAGGTACTGCACCTAGGGAGAAAGAACCAGCAGCATAACTACAGGCTGGGGAACTCCCTTCTAGTCAGCACAGAGGCAGAAAAGGATCTTGGAGTCATTTTTCATTCCAAAATGAACATGGGCTGCCAATGTGGGGCCGTGGTCAGGAAGGCCAACTGTACTTCGTTGTGCATCCACAGATGCATCACAAGCAGGTCCAAGGAGGTGATCCTCCCCCTCTATGCGGCACTGGTCAGGCTGCAGTTGCA